ACAAGAAGCAACTTTGTTATAAATGTTACGAATAAAAAAAAATCGTATTTTTATATTCATCAACATTCCATAATGTAGCACCACAATCAAGATATTTTTTAAACTTTGTTTAACTTGAAAGTTGAGTGGTTGATGTTTATTTTTAATAATTCTCGTAATCACAAGCCAGCTTTGTGAACAAGTATTTTTTTTTTATAGTAACTTTGAACTAGTAATTTTTACCAGTTTTTTTCCTTCAATGAATAAGGATACATTGGCACTGTAAACTAGATCAATTTTATTCTGATTACTAATATCCCTCGTCATAGGTATGATGGTAGATTGTGTCATTAACTTTCTAGAAGCACTGTCTTTTCCTTACATGTACGTTTTAACAATGAAACATTCGATACTTATATCTCCACATGCATAAATTCAAGCATAACAATTACAAAGTTTATGCAATTAGAGAAGTACAATAGGAAGAAGTTTGTTCCTGTATTAGTTAATAAATATATTGGAGTATAGGCAAATATATAGGCAACAATTGAAAGTTTGTTTAATCAACAGTACATTTTCCTAACTTCTCTCTTCTCTCTCTCTCTCTTTCATACTATTTTTCTTTCATTTTCATACATACTCTATCATATCAGTCTGGCATTTTTATATTTTTGTATTTTTCCGAATAAGACCCCAGTTACATGTCATTTTCATTCCTATTTAAAATCAGCTTATCTTTACATCACATTTGCAATGTTCCTGCCGATATGTTTATTCGTGTGGAGCGGTCTTCTTGCACTTCATTTTTGGAGGAGGAAGGGGGAGACTTTTTAAAGTTACAGCTAAGCTCCTGTTTTTTTCCTTTAGAATTTTAAATAATAAGCTCATTACTAACGCATAAACATTAGCATAAAACATGTTATTCGTAATGAACTCTTATTAGATAACACGATGTTGGTAATTTGAAAAAATATAATATTGTTTCTTAGGTCAAAATAGAATTTACAAGTGCATTACACACGAGAAAGTGGAAAGTGAGACAAAGAATTTCTCGATAGAATGAAATAGAATCAAGTAGTTGTGTAATGTAGAGTAAGTAATGTAAATGCAATTTTTATTAAAAATATTTTTCTTTTATATATTCCTTCTTATTGTTCCACCATCGTGTCATCCAAGGCACTTTAAGAACGATGTGTTAGTAATTTGAATTCAAATCTTATAATTTTGATACCAAAGCATTTCAATAAAAGAGTGAATGGTCATCGCTACGTTTATCTTATTCTTCATCGCATGTACATATGTTTTCGCTATAAGTTTCTGTAACACTTGTTTGAAGAATAATATAATGAGCTACCTTATAACTAATATAATTATTATCAATCTCAAAATCATTTTATAGCATTTAATGAATTCCTTCAATTTTATTCACATTTTATTTGCTATACGAATAGTGCCCGGTATACGGACGGATGTCTAATGTGATAGTGTCCAAAGTTACTATCATATTCATAGTTATAGTTTTAAAAGTTAAAGAGGAGAAATATTAATAGTTTATAGTAAAATGTGTGCCCGCTCGATAAACAGCAATAATTCTTTTTTATGTTAGTATATAGAATATTATGATTTCATTTCAATTGATTATATACGATGTAAATTTATTTAAAAGCACGTTTCAAAGGACACGAAAAACATCAAACTGTTTTCCTTTTTAGATACAATTTTACACGCTACACTGTAGATCGTTTTCTTTCTTCTTTACTCGCACAACGAAGCCTTCAAATTTATGTAAAAATACTCCAAAACGCTAACGTCAATTACTTCAAAAAATCATTGTATACAGTTCAATTAAAAGAATTGCTCCGTCAATTAAAATTCTTAACATTCATAGTTAACATTAATATGGATGCGCTATTGAATGTAACCATAACAATATTATTTATCACAAGATCACGGTATTATTGCACTCGACTGCAATCATTTATAAAAAAATAAAGTAGCCGCTGTGCAATAAAGTATTCCTCAAGCGTTTCGTTAAAGTACTTTTATCGCGTTCCGTGCACTTCGACATCATAATAAGATACAAATATAAACAGCGATCGTGGCATATCAACTTTTGCAACTTATGCGATGACATTACTATATGATAACTTTCGATATTATATAAAGAAGTATTAAATACAAAAATAGTTGTATTCTCACAATGTATTGATGGTGTTTAATTACACATTTATATATACATATATATATATATATAAATACATTTTTTTAATGTAAATATATATATATGTATATCTATATATATGCACACACACGCACACACATACAAATAATGTGTACACTCTTTTTGCAACATATAATTAGACATAAATGTTGAATTCTTAACTATTCTAACATCATGTTTGTGCTTTACAAATTATCTTGCGTATTTTCTTTTCTCTTTCTTATTTTATGTTTCCTATCATTCAAGAATCACACAAGTAAAGTGCAATTTTGTGTATATATAAAACTATTAAAAAAAGAGAAACGAAAATTGATTTGATACTTGTCGTGCGATCGCTCTCAAGGGACTATGTAAAAATTTCAAACCTGAAACTATATATAATTTGCTTTTTATATTAGCATCTTGCAAACCGACAGGTAAAGTATTGTGTATATATTATGTACATACTTGCTGAAATTCTTAGTGCAACGTATCATTAAAAAGTATCAGTACAACAATATACACGTATGTATACACATATTAAATATAGTTCAACAGATCCGATTTAAAGTTTCTTAGACATGTAATAATATCACTATACATATAACAAAAAGAGTATATTGCGCACAGAATGTACATTTCGTAATGTCGTGCACTGTACATGTCTTGTTACAAACACTCGTGTTCGTATATGATATATCACGTATCGATTATCAACAAAACATAAGAACAAGTATTAATAATAGAAATCAGATCTTATGTAAACTTGCGACACGATTCTGCGTGGCAAGATCTTCTCTACTAGTAGATAATAGAGATTTGTTAATTACGTCTTTTATTATTTTCTGTAATACCTATCAAAATGGTACCTCAAAAAGCGCTACATTTCATCGTAATGTATGCTCTCTAGATATATCGGACAAGAAGCTGTACTCACGAGGTTTCAAACATATTTGCCAGGATATAAGACTATTATCTTGCAAAAAATCATCTAAACAGCCACTATTCGTTATCCCAAACTTTATAAAAGATAAAAACTTGTCGTTGTACTGTTTTACATTAGTCCTTTTCCTTGCTTATACATATTCGCTTAGATTTGACCCAGCAAGACAGTTCTACAAAAGTATCATGTGAAATCCCACAGAGTGTGTATGTGTGTGTGCGGGCACGCATATGTGTGACTGTGTGTGTGTCTGCGCGCGTGCACGACTAATCATGTATCTTACTCGATCAAATCAATATTTTTAACATATCATCACGAAATCTCTATCGATAACTACACATATTGGATCTATTGATTTGATGTATGTATGTGTATATATATATATATATATATATATACATAATACAGCATATCAACACAGTGAAACTCTATTTACGAGTATCCGAACAGAGCCAGCGAAATGAAAAAGACTCGGAAAATCGCCTTATATCGCGCGGGCCGTTATATAGGTCTGTATTGTACATAGATGGTGGCAAACCGTGTCATAGGAATACCTCCGATTAAAAGCGAATTAGCTGAAATCTATACAAACCTCTGCCAAATCGAAGTAGCATTGGCGAGAGGGTAAAAGGGCGCCATGTCCAACGGCTTCTCGGTTAAGTTTCTCATAGGCGAAAACAGTTCGCAGCGTAACTCAGCTTTTCTTATATTTCCGTTGTTTTCTAAGATACGACATATTCGTTTGGAACAGAGTAGACAGAGCGGTGCGTGTGCTACCCCACAGCTTGAAGCGTTTGTTGCGTACGTATAGTGGTGAGTTTGGAGCGGTCGGAATGGGAATAGGATTTGAGGTCACCAAGCTTGATACGGGCAATGGTGACTCAAGTGTTTGCTTCAATTGAGGTTGCTCTGAGACTCCACTGATCTGGCTTGGTGACTGGGGTTGTTGGATTGCGATTGATCTGGGTATGGCGTGAGGTTGCCGCTGGAGGGGCCTGTTGATCCTGGTCCCTCTTGTTGTTGACCGCTGTTGAGCGCCAGGCGTTTCATTTGTCGTATAACCGTTGTTGCGTGATAGGCTTGCTGCAACCATGAGAGATGAGGAAGACTTCCCTACGGAGCCTGGCGAGCAAACACATACAATCAGCGACGAGATAATCATTCAAATATACTAACCTTCCACCTTGATTTGGCGAAATTCTTTCTAAGTTGTTCCGATACAGTACCATGGATATTTTTATTGCTAGCTGCATTGCCGGATATCCTGGAAAAATGAATTCCACGATTTCCATGTCAGAAAACAAATACATAGCATTGTACAATACATGCTATACAGCCTCTCATTAACACCTTCGCTACCATTCTCATTCGAACCTTTATATAAAACACAAATTTCCAAAGAAACTGGCTGTGCGCGCAATTGCTAAGAGAAATAACTTTGAGTTTCTTTTAATGTCTTTACAAAGAAAAACTTCGTCTCAATAGCCATATATAAAATTTTATCAGTAGCCAACGTGTTAAGCGTATTTATTTGTTGATTATTATAATGTTAAGGAATGAAAATCTTTTGTTTGTTCGAGGATATTTTATCATTTTTATGCAGGGATAATGGAAATTTTGATTATCAGTATGTAAACACTGTCCATTAATGTGCACATCTGGGAATATAATAGAGTATTTATAGAACATGTTAAGTTAATGGATGACAAGATAAACGTAATCTTTTTACTTACTGAATTCCACATTTACTTTATTATTAAAGACAATACTGTTCCTGTAATTTCTTTATCACTTGAATTTTAAAATAAAACTTTCGAAGTGTTCAGAGCTAAGAATATTCACAAAGTTTCTATAAATTGATGCTAATTTGTCTGTGTAACTGCATTATTATATATTTATATAAAGAGAAACAGATGTAATTTCAAATGACAAATTATGTGAAATATTTGAGGGTAATAATGATCTTACCAGGGATGTGCAAGGGCTTGCTTGCAAGTATAGCGTTCCTCAACATTGACGCATATTAGCTTCTGAATGAAATCCTTTGCAGAATCACTGATATCGTTCCAAAACGGCGAATCAAATTCAAATTCACCTATAACAGTCTGGTTAGCTCTTTGCTATAGAGTAGACGATTTTTTTAAGTATAAAATATTTCATATAAATGAAATAATTTATTTGGAAGAAATACTGTTAGCTCCATACTTTGCACAAGAAAAACATTGATTTGTACTCGCGTTGAAATCTTCATAATTATTGCTTTTGAACTAGATAGCGATAATAGTGAAACCGATTTTTTCATTATTCTTTTTCACTTATTTTTTTTTTAAGAATTAACAACTAGCACAGATTTTAGAAAAAGAAATGCAGTCGAACACAGAGTATCATTTACTTACTATACTATCGTTTATATAGCAGCGTACAAAAACTAGAATAATACCTTAAAAATAAAAATATCAAGTTAATGTACTGCTGCATGTACTGTCGATCCTAAAAGTAGTAACTAAATTGAAGTGAAAGTATAGTCCTTCCAAATGCCATAATTTTCCTACCGAAGATGATCGTATTACCTGTTAGAATTTGTGTAAATAAGACAGTATCGTTCTCGTCATAAAATGGTGGATATCCACATAATAAGATATAAGAAATGACTCCTATGCTCCACACATCAACGGCCTTGCCATATGGTTTTTGCGCTAAGACTTCTGGAGCTGTACAAATAAATAGGTTCACCTTTTAATGCTTTCTCCTATGTATTTTGATTCTTTTCGTAGAAAGAATTAACGAGCTTACCAACATATCCTGGAGTACCGCACGCAGTTTCCATAACACCAGAGTCCTCCATTTTCGAAAGACCAAAGTCACTAATCATAATCTTACTGTCCTCGTCTGGACTATAGTACAAAAGGTTTTCAGGTTTTAAATCTCTATGTACGACACCCTGTTCGTGCATATAGTCCACAGCTTCGAGGATTTGTCTTATTAAACCTGATGCATCCTTTTCCGTGTAGGAACCTTTCTCAACAATTCTATCAAAAAGTTCTCCACCAGTGACCCTAAAGGAATACAAAAATGTTTCTTATTTACACTTAAGCAATCTTTTATAAAGTACAGCAAAAACTACTACTTACAATTCCATAATTAAATAAACTTTTTGCTTGTCCTCGAATGTTTCCAATAGCTGTACAATGTTTGGATGTGTTAGCCTATAATAAGTAAACAAACAATAAATAATTTTAATAATATATGTGCACATAAAAAGATATACCCGATGAAATATTTTACCTTCTCAACACTTTGATTTCATTTTCTAAAGAATCTTCTTTCCCTTTCAGTGCTTTTTTGTTAATAATCTTTACTGCAAACATTTGGCCAGGCTTGTCCTTACTTTCTGCCAAACGTACTTCAGAAAATGCACCCCTAAAACATAGAGATGTATTAATAATATTATACAACAAAACATAAAAAAGCAACTTGTGCTCTTACGACTTTAAACTTTTTAACTATGTTATTTTATTTTAAATGCTCGATACAAAGACAGTTAGAAAGATTAAAAGCATATGCATCAATTGCAATAACTTAGCAGCCAGTATTTCTACACAAAGGTACTTATGCAATTATTACCAATTGCTTGTTGCCGCGATATGTCATATTCATATCCCGACTATTTGCCTAATGACTGTCTGTATGTAATTAACTTTAACATATTCCGATAAATGAATGTCAGCATATAGCAGACTCATAAATGAACACATTATGTTTATCCTGACATTAATATGAACAAGTATAAAATCTACTCTTTCTTACTTAATACAATAATATTAAAACACTAACATGCCTAATGCTATGAAATATGT